CAAGCCACGGTGAGGCGCACAAGGGAGAACAGGTCCTTGGTGCAGAGTCCAGCGAGGACCCCACAGTAGGCAGGCGCTCAACAAGCTGCCAGCTGGGTCTTTAAGTCATCTTGGGCCCTAGGTGTGCTTACTTGTCTCCCAGGCCCTTTCAGGGTTCCACCCCAAACAAGAGGTATGCATAAACCAGAGGCACTGCTGAGACAGAGCATGCTGGACCTGGGGAGCACAACAAGATTCTTTAATGCTAAAAATAGCCCCAGTAAACAGGCTTTGATGACTCCCCACAGCCAGGATATGCGCGGGCTGAGGTTTCGGAGCACTTTTTCCGGAGCACCGCTCATTTCCTTCAGGCAGCACCGCCCGTGTGGGGTGGGACCCCCTGGGCAGCAGGAGCTGGGCATCTGAGGGAAGCAGGCGGGGTGGCAGAGTAGACACTTCCAGAGGGTCTCTAAGACCAGGCTGTCCTGATGGTACTGCTGGTCAGGATGCTGGCTACAGTTTTATTCTGCCAGGGTCATTCTTGTTCTTTGTTTCCTACTCTGAGAAGCTCCATGACTGCTCTGACTGTGCTTAAAGCCATTCTGATGTGGTCTTCCTGATCAGAAGTGCTTGGCGGTCACCATTTAGTTATCACTGCAGCGGCCTTCCCTCTAAGGGCTTTGCCTAAACTGATTCCTCCCCTCTACCTCTCCCAGGGCCAGCTCCACCACACCCCTGTCCTGGCTGTGCTGATTGCAAAAGTAGTGCCAGTCAAGCCACCAGGAAATTATTCCTGGATCACTTAGTGGATTGTTAGCCATACCTGTAAACCCTACCACTACTAACAGGCTTGGACTACTGTCACACCTTTAGCAGAAAACACTGTGTCCTACTGATTTTGCTGGGTCCCAGGGAGCCCTGAAAGTCCCCTATCAAAACTTTCGTTCTTTATGTATCTTATTATCCTAGCTCACCTTTCTGTATTACCCTTCAGAAGATGTAGCACAGGGCTGGGCTCAGCAAATACCTGCTGATTGAGCAGACTTTTTTGGTTTCAGTTAAGGAAATGATCTGAACAAGGTCAGAATCCCTAGAAGAGATTGTACATTAACTACGCTCATCCATTAACATCCTCACATGAATCAGCTTATTGGCTTCCTTCCAAGAAGGACAGAAAAAGGCCTTAATTTGGAGTATGGGTGGGGCAAGGGGGGTGGGGCAGTGAAAAAGTTGGGGTGAAAGCATGGGAAAAGAAGTCTGAAAGTGGGGCATAAGAGGGCACCAGAAACCATAACTGCCTCCACAGTTCTTTGCTCTTTATCCCATTTTTCCTGCATGGAAAGGTCATGGTAAGAACCTTAAAATCAGTTGTCCCACATTTTAATGTCTTTCCCTTAGTAGTCTAGAGATCAGGAAATCATAATCTCTTGTTAAGACTCTTCATTAAGCAACTTCCATGGACTCAATAATAAGCCTGACATTTCTCTTTAGAAACTCTGCTTCCCATTGATCTCCAGCTCTATCTAAAATGAATTTGATTTCACTATGTCTGAGTTTGGGGAAGCCCCAAATCAGTTTCACATTGAAAAGCAAATTTTGTATATTTACTGCTGTTTAATGTCCTCAGAATGCAGAAGTGACCCCTATTTGGCCACCATGTGTGAGGCTCATCTTGAAAGAGGATTTAAGACAATCCAGTGGTATTTCCATGATGTTCCTGTAAGAGCGTGTTCTGTCCCCAGCCCAGTGTGGAAGCCAATATCATACAGCTATTGTTTCAGTTTGCTTCCTGTGATACGAATCTCAATTGGCAGCCCAGACCCACAGCCTGAATTCTCAACGTTGAGGTTTCCTCTCCAACATTCCCACACAGAACGGCCTACTGTGAAAATCAAAGGGAATGTGTTACTAAGTAAAGAAGAAACCTTTCTAAAGCAAAACCTGGCATTTTTTAGCCTTTTGAACTCTGAGGTATGTAACCAGCTATTTCCTATTATAAAGTGAGCCAAAATTGGTACTCACCTTTGTTAGAAATGCTTAAATAATGAATTTGTGATTTGTTTTGACTTGGAAAAGCTTGACAAATCTGCATTTTGATAGAAACTGCTGACAGGTGGGTAGGAGGATAGTAAGGATTTCCACTGGGTTTTCTTTGACATCATTTCTCCAGGAGCCTATACTTATTATAAATCAATCTACTTGTTTGTAATAATTTTTATTTCTAAGCTATAATTTATCAAGAGCATAATATGTGGCTAGAGGACAGGCTTTTTATTTCCATTATATCAATCTTCAAACAACATTGCAGGGTAAGTACCACTGTCCCTTTTGTGCAGATGAGGAAACAAAGGTTCACAGAGAGAAAGAAATTTGTAGAAGGGTGCAGAGAAAAAGGGATCTAAACTGAGATTCCAGTGCAGGTCTTTCTGCCCACAAACCCTGTGCTCCTCTTCACTGCTACATGTATTGAAAAACAAAATATGATTAAAAAAGAAAAAGATCCTGTGTCACATACAATTTCCAAAAGCGATTTCGACAATTGGTCTTTGGAACGTGTGGCAGGAGCCTGGGAGAGGAGGCAGAGAAAGGGAGATGATGAGATGCCACCTCTTCCTCCCCATGGCTGTGCTCCTTTTATGAGAACTTCTCCTTCAAGGACACCAGGACCAGATGGCCACAAGTAGAAACTTTTTATCTTTTTCCATCATTTTTTTCCTTGAGACAGAGAGGACCTGGGCTGACATGCTGAAGGCTCTGTTCAGTCTGGTGCCACGCCCAGCCAGAGGGCAGGCAGTTTCTGTCCATATCTTTCAACAGCTCCTGAGCTGGGATGTGTGCTGTCCTGCCGTGGCCATTCTGGTCCTGTCTCTGTGGGTGTGTCTGGCACACAGGGGTTCAGACCAGCACAAATGCAGGCAGACGTGCTCAGAGGGCCCAGACTCCAGCTTGTGGCCTTCTCCAAGCCATCCTCTGAACCATCGAGAAGGATGGCCAGGATGTGTGTGGATGAGGATGGAAGACAAGGCCGTGTACTAAGGGAAGGACAGTAACAGCTCTCTGAGTGTGAGGACCTCCCTTCCCACCCCATCACTCAGGGCTGGTCCCAGTGGCCTCCATTAGACTTTGGTTCCCCTGCCTTCTCCCTTCCCCCCAAGAGTCCTTGTCAACATCTTCACCTAACCAGGTTTGCAGAATGCTCCTGCCACCCCAGGTCTGTCTTTCCCATGAACTGAAATTCAGAAGGAATTGAATTCCAGGTACAGATTCATGTGCTAAATGTGTGACTTCGAGCAACTGTGACTTTTCTGTGCCTCATTTATCTGAGAAACAAGGAGAAACACTCCACAAATTCAAATTCAGAGAGGCATCCTAGGATTAATGTATTACCCCTTTGGGGCTCTCTGGTGGTGGAGGAAGAGGGTGGTGGTGAAGGAACCAGTGGTTAACCCAAAGAAATTAATGTCTAGGAGTAGAATGTTAAGTAGTACAGCTGGGAAGCAGAGGAGATGGCTCTGGGTGTGGGGAAGGGGTCTCCATCTATTCACTGAGGCCTCCCCTGTCTACTCTGTGTATATGTAAAGATGATTCCAATATTACCAGACATTACCCTCAGCTGTCCAGGAAGACAAGCCTCTTTCAGAGAAGGAGTCCTCAGGTGCCCTGTGATAGAGTCACGGGCCCTTCTTTTAGCTGGCAATCCCAGCCTTGCAAGGCTTCTGCCCCTCATTCCCTCCTTCTGTAGCACCTAGGACTATGAATCTGCCATTGCATTGCATTGTTTCTTTGAAAGTATTTATAGAGCACGTTTTGCCGCTGGTTCTCCCCCTCCTGTCTCTCTCTTTTGAGACTCTGCACAATTATCCTCTTTAGGCTTGCAGTGCAGGCTTAGCCCTCCAACCCTTGTGCCCCCTGAGCTGTCATCCTATTTTCTGAAAGTCTTTCCCCCATATCCTTCCTGTGCTGCAGGGCCCAGAATAGCACATGCCGGTCTGCCCTCCCAGCCTCACACTGGATTCCCTCTGCTCAGGGTTCCTTTCCCAGAATAGCCACTTCATAACAGGATGGCAGAATCCACCTGCCTCTGAGGCACCATGCTCTCTCAGGAAAACTGAAAACCAGCCACAGAAGCAGCTTCTTCCCAGACTGCCTCCCTCATGCTCACGCCTTGGACGCCTCCTACCTGTAGCACCCGACCAGGGTGGGGACGGGCACTACATGCTGCCCCAGTTCCTTACAAAACTGATGCACTAGACAAGACTGTCACGTAGGATCTGAAACTGGAAAACTCCTCAGGACACCTCTTTCTGGTCAGGACAAACAGGAAATGGTTTTTTGAAAAATGTAACTCTCTGAGGAAAAAACATTTTGAGAACTTGCGAGTAGCAGCGACACGAGGAAGGGTGAGAACTGGTTCCCTGGGGAGGGGCAATGCTTTAGGCTGTCATCCATTAAGGACCCCCAGTGGAAATGAGTGCAGCTGGGCCAGGTGCTTCACAGACATCATCTCAGTCAATTCTCACAGACACCCTGTGCAATACGTATTTCCAATCCATTTTACAGATGAGGAAACCAACGTTCAGAGAGACCAAGTGATTTACCTGGCCTAACTGGCTAGTACGGGGGAAGAGATCTCACGGGCACACCTTCTCTGCCATTCTGGAGAAGGTAGTTGGAAGGTAAGGATTAAAATGCTCCCTATGGACTCAATCTCGTGTGGAGTGAGGGTTTTACAGCAGGTGCTAACGAAATTTGGAAGTCAGCAAAAGCCACTCCTGTTTCCTTTTCCAAGCCCCTTTGTTCTCCTCAGCCTCCAGGTGCCCACGCTCTTCCCTGGTCCTGTCCTGGCACTCATCCCATGGCTTGATCCATCACCGTTGCTGGAAAGGAGATGCTTCACATGGAGGAATAAAGCACTAGTGAAAGGTTTGCAGAGTGGGCGTACCCGGGAAGGCAGGCCTTCCGACTCTGGCACAGTGGAGGCCCCTGTGTGTAGGGATGTCCTGGGAAGGCTGCCACCTCACCTGAGGACAGGAGCTTGTGCGTCCGCAGGAAGCTGATGGCCAGCCGCATGATGGAGGCCTTGTCCAGGTGGGAGCTGACGCTGTGAGGCAGGGGCAGCTCGTGCGCCAGCTCATAGAAGACCTCCGTCTCCTTGCTCCGCCGGCACCTCGCGGCATCTCGGGACTTCTCCTTCCTCCTCTCGGAGCTGCTCCTAAATTGAGAGAGAGGGGTTAGTCCCTGAAATGTCACTGTTATCCTATATCACAGCTTGGTCAAGACATCCCCGTTTACCCCCAACCCACGGTGCCGCCAAACTCTGCCACTGAACTGATCCAGGCTCACAGCAGCCACCTGAGCCACACGTGCCCGGCAGTGCACTGAGAGCTTTGCTTCTGTGCGCACTGGTGTCTTCTCTACCACCACCTCCTCTTGCACTCCCATGGTGTCCAGAACAGGGCTTGATGCGGGTGGGGCTTCAGCAAAGTCTTGCTGATTAAATTAATTAACCGGCAATGCCCTGGACCTAGTGCTGGGTTATCTGGGGACATGGGTGAATGTCCAGGGATGGAAAGGGAAGGATGAGGAGACTATGGCCAGGTCCCAGATGGCTCTGTCAAAGGCTCTAGAGAACAAGCTGGAAAAACTGCTTCACAGTTCTCCTTTTCTAGGTAAGACACACTCAGAAAACATTACTGGACCTTAGACTCCATTTTATATCAGAGAGTGATTTTCACAGTAAAAATCAAAAATGCCCTTACAGCCCAAGATGCTGAATTCCATTCTCTAGCACCAGCCCTTGCACTCTCCAACAAAAGCTTCATCAATGAGTAACCCAGTCATTGGGGATATCCAGAGATGCCATCCTGGGGCAGAAGAGATCCCAGCACAGGCTGTGGCCTTAATGCCAACATCTATATGCACAAAGCCCCCCCCCTCCCCCCAACTGCCCTTTCCTTAGAAGGACCGACAAGGCAGAGAGGAACAGCCAGGTAGGGAAGGTGATCTGGAGGCAGTACTCTGTTTGCTGATGGCATTTGAAGTCTGAGTCCTGTCATACTCCTTCAACCATGCAAACGTTTACTGACACCTATTTTGTGCCTGGTGCTACACCAAGAACCTTACATATATTATCTCATTATACTCTTCCTAACAACACAATATGGTAGGAATTATTCACACAATTTATAGATGTGGGAACTGAGGCTCAGACATTACATGTCATTTGCCTAAAATCACAAAGCCAATACCCACATAAGCCCTTGGAGGGCATATAGTAAGTGAGTAGACAATTAGAAGTCCTGGGACATTTGGGTTCCCCCTAATTCCATCCTTACAATCATAGGAAGTGGATAGACAGGCACTGTCACAGTCCCCATTTCACAGTTCTAGAAACTGAGACCAGACCAGGTTAAGTTATTTGCCTAGGGCAATCCAGCTAATTAGAGGCAGAGCAAGGGCTAGAGCCCTACTCTTCCTAGGCCCATACTCTTCTCACTGCTTCACTGTAGAAGATAGTGGCTTTAGCATGAAATAAACAGCAACATCTTAACATTTAGAAAAAGAAAGATTGAAACTCACAGGCAGCCTCTTGGTTTAAAAGTTGTGAGCTCCATTTTAGCTACCTTGTTTTTATAGCTACACTCTGAGACCAGCATAATTAGATTATCTAATTAACCTTGACACAGCCCAGAGATGTCTGCCTGATGTTGACTCTTGAAGAACAGAAAAAAAGGTGTAACACTGCCATTGTTTAATTCAGCAACACTGAAGATCTAGTGTGAAGTAAGACCCCCCAAGCCCGCCGATGCTTGCGTCCTCTACTTTGCGTCGCTGATCACCGGCTGGACCTCTGAGTAAATGCAACGGAGGACTGGGAGTTAGGAGGGGCGGGGTTTTAATATATTGGCCACGATACTATCTAACTCTGATTCTGGACAAGAAAATACAACATTCTCTGGGCCCTGATAGCCTCATCTGTAAAATGAGAGGAATCACATGTTTTATTTGTCCAGATCAAATGAGATGAGTGTTGAAGGGCTGAAAGTATGAGAAAAACCACTGATGAAAACCACCATGCCAATATAATCAATTTTCTGGCCCTTTACCAATTTCTCACTAACCCCCACCTCTTTCCCACCTGTGGTAGCCTCAGTTCTGTTCTCTCCTTTTGAAAGTTCAACAAATTATTGTGATTGTTGTATCTTTCTTTCTTTATTGTTGAATATACTAATTATCCTGATTTGAGCATGACATATTGCATGCAGGTATTCAATGCTGTACTCCACAGATCTGTATGGTCAATTATGTTTCAATAAAAAAGAAAAGGAAAAGGAAAGGAAAAGGAAAGGAAAAGGAAAAGGAAAGGAACGGAAAAGGAAAAGGAAAAGGAAAAGGAAAAGGAAAGGAAAGGAAACCATCATGACAGATAATAATGGCCCATTATCTGGCTAACCTGAGCATTAGCACAGACTCTGGCCATAACGGCTGTTCTTCCTCATCTTAAAATAAGCTGTCTCAGATCTGGAGGTGGACAGCAGGCAGGCTGATCCTGACCAGATCTTTGTGTCATGTTGCTGAACCTTCTTAGGTTCATGAGGTTTCACTTCCTAAAATACTTGCCTTTTTTTTTTCTCTTCCTACATGGGTCCTAGAATTAACCTCAATAGATCAAGATTTTTAAAAATAATTCAAGGGTTTGCATGTTAGAATTCTTTGGTTTCTCTTAAAAAGATATTTCATCCTAAATTTTCTAAATCATCAGAAAAGGCTCAGAAATATTCTGACACCAATTGCTTTTTTCTACAAAGTTCTCCTCCTGTCTTTCTTGGTGGCCTTCCTCCTCCTGCAAGGTGGTCCAGCATGGTATTTGGTACATGAAGCACACAATGGAAATGTGGTCCTGGCTTACTGTGTCCTCGTGCAGACCCAGAAGTGTTTACAGAGGTCCGTGATGGGCCCTGTGGTTCCTGCAGAGTGAATGGGCACACATTTCTTGTCCTCAAGGAGGGTGCAGTCTAGTGAGGGAGCCAGCAACTTGAAACATCTCCATTAACCACAGAGATAGGTACAGGCAATACACACTATAGAGGTTTAAGATAAGAAACAAGCAGGTGAGTGCTAGCAAAGTCAGGAATGGCTATGCAGGAAGGCAGGATTTCAGCTGAACGTAGAAGGACAAACAGGACAAACAGTGTTTTAGGTGCTCAGAATGCACTTTTTAAACATGTGTTATTCATTTGATTCTCACAGCAACCTTGAGAGACAGAAAATATTATCCCCATCGAATAGATAAGAAAGTGGAGATTTAGAGAGAGTAAATAATTTGCTAAAAGACATCATCTCAACTCTAGTTTTTCTGGGTCCAAGATCAAAGGTTTTTCCGTAGGCAGCAAAAATTACTACTATTTATGGTACAATGTTGACATGCTCAGTGCTATGTTAGATACTTTCCCGTAAATTGGATGTTCATACATACTAGGGAAGAAAAGGAGGGCTAAGATTTGGAAAAGATATAGTGACAAAGATTCCGTGGGGGTAAGGGTGTCTGTTTTTAAGTGAGCACCTATTCACTTTAGGAAAACACCTGGAATCTTAGGAGTAGGATTAAGAACCAATATCTGAGTTCAGATGGGGTGTGAGGGGAAAAAGGGGGGTCGGTGCTGTAGGCCTTAGCAGATGCAGCCCCTGTCACTATCAGGCTCTTATCAGATAGGACTTCACAGTGCTCCACAAAAGCAGCAGGTCCAACCTGCTACAGTATCTAACCACACTGCAGGTGGAGAACAAGTAGTTTCTGTTTGGGTTTTTTTTGTTTGTTTGTTTTGGGTTTTTTTTTTGACATTTTAAATGCACAAGTTTATACTTACTCTCCCCAAGTTGGAAACCCACCAGTTTCTGTTTGGGGTTTTTTTGTTTGTTTGTTTTGGGTTTTTTTTTTTGACATTTTAAATGCACAAGTTTATACTTACTCTCCCCAAGTTGGAAACCCACATTCTGAAACATCTGATCCCAACTAAAGGAAGCAACTACTTAAGGACCAGGCAGCCAGTCAAAAGACAGAACAAAACTGACTGTCCAAAAATGTCAGCAAGTATATGCTATAACTCAATCAGGAAAAACTTCTTTGCCCAGAGCGTCATTACCTTAAAAATGTCATCTTAACTTTTGGGTCATTGCTCCAAATGTAGCTTAGGGATCCTTACTTAAATCATAAATCTAACATGACCTGTTCTGGTCAAGATGATTTCAGAGCGTCATTACCTTAAAAATGTCATCTTAACTTTTGGGTCATTGCTCCAAACGTAGCTTAGGGATCCTTACTTAAATCATAAATCTAACATGACCTGTTCTGGTCAAGATGATTGTGGTTTCTGACTTCCAGGTGAACACAGCCTGGAGCGGTCCCCAGGATGTCACCAGCTGTATCAGCTGCTTAATTAGCTATAGACTTCTGACCTTTAGAGTGATTAGGATTCATATGTCTAATGCCTGTGGCCATCAGGGCATCAAACAATATGTCTATTACCCCGAAAGGTTAAGTGGCTTAGAAGCAGAATGGATTTCAGCAGGTCAGGGAGACTGAAGCTAATTAAGCCAGCTTGGGTCAGTCTATTGGCTGGTGGTGAGATTCTAAATTGGTGCCAATTTGCAGGAGGCTGTGAATGGAGGAAATGAAGGTCAAATGCAATTGGGAGGGATCTAGTGGCCCTTCAGTGAGGCTGTGGCTGCTGCACATGGGCTTCCTGATGAGAGAAACACAGCCACTTCAGGTCCCGGACATCAGGACAAAATCACTGGCCCCACGCTTAGCAGTTGATTGCTTCATAGATTAAATTAGAGCAGAACCAAAGCCGATGTTTCTCAATCTTGGCTGCTCCTTGCTGGAATCACCAGAGGAGTCTTCAAAAACCAATACCTGGGTTCTACCCCCAAAGATTCTGATTTAAGAGGCCTGGGGTGCAGGAGGGGTGTTGGGAGTTTTAAAGATCTCCATATGATTTTCATGTGCAGCCAGGGCTGTGAACCACTGCCCCAAAGCAGTCAGTTTTAAAAGAGCTTCATTTTTTGGTGAAATTTGGAGTTAAGTGTCTTTGGAGATGTAGGAGAAAAGAGAAACTGACATTTACTGAGCACTGGGGCTAGGTGCATTTCATAAACAATCTTGTTTCATTCTCACTTAAATTACGCGGCTTTACTGGCCCCATTTTTGCA